GCCCGAGGCTGCAGGCGCGCAACCCGAAGGGGCACAGGCGGCCGAGAGACGCGCCCGAGGCTGCAGGTGCGCAACCCGAAGGGGCACAGGCGGCCGAGGCTGCAGGTGCGCAACCCGAAGGGACACAGGCGGCCGAGAGACGCGCCCGAGGCTGCAGGTGCACAACCCAAAGGGGCCAGAGCAGTGCCTAACAACAGAAGACAGCCTACACATTTTTCCTGTATCATTTAATTATTTATTCAGAGCCCAGAGACAATCTATGCATCAAAAGGGAGAGTATCTATCCTTCTGCAAAGGGAGAGTATCTATCCCTCAAAAATCTTTTCTAAAATTATGTGTCCATTAGTTAATAATATCTGGGTAGTGCAACCAGTTTGCGATGAGCTGGTAACCTAAAAGGCTGGCAGTTCGAACACACCCAGTGGCATCACAGAAGAAAGGCCTGACGATCTGCTGCCATAAAGATTCTAGCCAAGAAAACCCCACAGAGCAATTCTACTCTGTAACAACATGAGTCGGAACTGGCAACAGGTTTGGTTTGACTGGTATCACTATAGAAAGATCTAGACATAAGAAAGTTAGATACTGAAGGAAGTAATATTAATACAGTTTTTAAGGCACAAAAGGGATAAGTTATTAATATCTGCAGTTAAGAAATTTCTTTTTTAAAGATGCATTCAGTTCAGAAAAAAGTATGCTTTTTAAAAAATATTTTTAAAAATCGATGTTTATTAAGATACACGTGTTTATGTTTTATTATTGTGGTATAATATATATAATGAAACATTTGTCACCATAACCATTTTCAAGCACGCAATTCACTGACATAAATTACATTCATCATGTTATGCAATCATCACCACCATCTGTTTCCAAATTTTTTCATCACCCTTAACAAAAACCTGGAAACCCTGGTGGCATAATGGATAAGAGCTACAGCTGCTAACCAAAAGGTCAGCAGTTCAAATCCACCAGGCGCTCCTTGGAAACCCTGTGCTGCAGTTCTACTCTGTCCTGTAGGGTCGCTATGAGTCGGAAGTGACTTCGACGGCAATGAATTTGGTTTTTTTGGTAACAGAAACTCTGTGCTCCTTCATCAAAACCTTCCCATTTCTCCCTTCCACCTGCTCCTGGTAACATTAATAAACTTTGGTCTCTGTGCGCTACTACATACGTTATATCAAATTAAATCAGAACTGGAAAAAAAATTCCAATTCACAAATAATGCCCCTAAAATTCTGTAAGTTAATGGTATCCAAGGAAGGTGACATTAAAACATGGTTTGATACTTACATGCCTTAGACCCTGGCGCTGGGGACACTGCATTCTACTGTTATTTGGTTGAGGTTGAGTAGTCTGCATGTGAGGCCTAAACTGTGGCTGAGACATGGGCATCAGAGGTGGAGGAGGAACGGAAAGGTGGTGGTGATGCTGATGCTGCTGGGGTTGATGTGGAGGCTGGTGCTGCGGCTGATGCTGCGGCTGGTGAGGAGGCTGATGCTGGGGAGGAGGTTGATGTGGCGGCTGATGTGGTGGTTGGTGTTGGGGCTGAAGTGGGGGCTGGTGCTGGGGTTGGTGCTGATGATGCTGTGGCTGATGCTGGGGCTGCTGCTGCTGATGCTGAGGTTGCTGCTGTTGAGGCTGAGGCTGAGGCTGATGTGGAGGTGGCAATGGAGGATGCAATGGCCCCTTCAGGTTCAAAAGAAAGAGTAACAACAGTTTATAAATGTATATACCAGTCATATTCCAATTCAACCATTTTCTTGAAAACCTCGATACAGAAAAGAAACTTTAAATGGTACTAAAACTTCATGTTAGTTTGTTGATGAAGATAATACTATCTTAAATACAGTAATAAGCGAAAAAAAAAAAAAAAAACTATCTTGTATTTTGTATTTGTCCTAAATCCTTTCAACCCAGTAATTCTAGGTATTTATCCTAGGGAAATAACTAAAGATGCCAGCAAACACTTGGCCTCAAGGATATTATCTGTAGTACTGTTTATAATACCAAAATATTCAAACCAAATACATGTGCAAACACAGACAGCCATAAAATGTAATCTTGTGCAGCATTTTAAAATGATGTGGGGAAGACAATTTCATCAGCATGAAAAGATATTAATGATATATAATTGGAAAGAAAAAAAAGTATGGGGTGAGAATGTATGCATTAAAAAAAAGACTAAAAAAATTTGCATTCAAATGTGAGTGGTGATTGTTTCTAGGTGATCGGATTATTTAATTTTTTTTATACTAATCTATATTCTAATACTTCTGCAGTGAAGATGAACTGTATTTATTTTTAAAGGAAAAATTAAAAACTCTTTTATCCTACTTTAACAGCCTAAACAATAATCATTTTCTGTTTTTAGTTTAGACATATATTCCATGTGTTTCTAAATAGTTGACGCAAGCATATAACCGCTATCTATTTTAACAGTAAATGCAAAATAAAACAAGAAACACACTGGGTAAGAAAGATGTCATAAATACTCAAGTCAATCTATGAAACATAATTCCATCAGCAGAGGGCACTCAAGTCTTTCAAATCATGAATAAACAGTAACATTTTTTTTTCTCCACACAAAGAATTTTCTCACTATACAATTTAAGAACGTAATTTAACAAAGTACTCTATTTCCATTGGCATAAACCTTTTAAGAAATATTGCAACGATGAGCAAATGTATCATGAAAAAATATTGATTTTATTACCAGTACATCCTTTAAAAAATCTTAGTACTAACATTTTTCATCTCCTAAAAAATGGCACTTTTTCCACATCTCCTACTATTACGTAGATAAACACTAACGTCAAGAATGCTGTCTTTAATAAACAGCACATTCCAGATAAATACTCTTACTCTTTAAATAATCTCTACAGACAACCAGGCTAGATAAAAACGTGAAACTTCACTTTTATGAAGCACAAAGATTCAAAGCTACATGTACACTTTTTTTCCTTTTTAAGTTTTACCCATGATGCATACCTGCAGATTAGGCTGCCCGTGTGTTGGTAGAAATGGCTGTCCTGGGCCAGGCAAGAACGGCTGTCTAGGAGGAATAAAAGGCCGTGTATTTGCTGATCCCGGCTGGCTGAAGTGAAGAATTCCCACGGGGCCTGGAGGCTGAAGGCTTGGTCTTACGGGCCTTTCTCTGGGGAACCCTGGTTGCTGTCCCTGCTGACTGAATGCTGGTCCAGGCTGAGTGAATGGTAAAGGACTCTGAGTAGGAACAGGATGACTACTGTTAAGAAGTGTGGGTGGAGGTGGTGGCGGAGGGGGGCTTCGCTGCTCCAGAAAAAGATGACTTGGAAACCTTGGTTCACCTGAAACTAAACGGTGGTACAAGCAACATTACCTTCTGGTTATAAAGCACATGCATTTCTTAGAAAAGCAGTTTTATGTCTTGCCTTGATATGGCCCAAAGTTACAGGGTATGAATGTCTGAAAACAAATTAGAATTCTAGGTTTTTCCTCTTATTTCTAGACTGCCACATTAGTTATCTTCTATAAACGTTTTCCTCCTTTGTATGAGATTTTCACATTTCAGATACCAAAACATCCAATTTTGGCATTTGAAAATGACAGACAGAACAGCTATGGTATAAAAATGAACATTCTTAGCAAAATCCCCTATTGGGAGTTAAATTCAGTTCAAATAAGTGTGTTTTGTTATGTTTCTTTGCAACGTTCTTTATCTACCTCCTATGAAGAAAGGGTCTCGGTCTTGAGGAGGGGGTGGGGCTCTCCATTGGTCCTGAATAGGAAGTCGTGGGGGCTGGCTAAAATTATTGGGAACAGGCCCCGGCGCATGCTGTGGAAATTCTGGAGGGCCCTAAAGAAGAAAAAGAAAACAGGGTGAAAAGGCAGAAAGACAATCCATAATTTTTGGAAATACATACACGGTTCTAAGTTTTTCTCTGAAAATATCAAATATCAAGTAGCTTATTTCCTATATTCCATATAAGCTGGTAATCAAAATACAGATTCTGCCATAATGAAACAGTCAAAAATCAAAATGCAGTACCTAGAAATTAATTCAACGTTTTAATATTACTACAGTAGGAAAGAATATTATTTTTAAGCTTACTGAAATCCATGCAATTACTGACATTCTTCCCCATTAATCTGGAAGACTAAATGTCTACTTTAGACGTTCCTGACATTTATCTTCTCAAACAATGCTATTCTTTGCCACCTCTTTAACACAACCATAAGCTATGGCAATGAAGCTGCTTTACTTCAGAAGAAAAAGAAATTCAATTTGTACCATAACCAAAATTAACAAGCTCTGATGAAACAAGAAAATATGAAATGTTTACAAAAGAAATATTATAGATTCCTTTAGATAAAAAATTTTAGACAAATATTTTTCAATAACTACATGTTACTAGTAGAACTCTACAGAGAAAAACTAAAATTACTTCATTTTTCAATTGGCTTCTCAAATATTCACGGAGATTTTCCAAGCCACCTACATTTACATTAAAAAAATTGCATCTTTAAAAAAGCTTCAGTTTTCACTAGTTTGAAAATAAGTAATTCATTAATTTTTACACAGCATCAAAATAATTTTCATTTAGCAACACCTCATTCTCTGAAACTAAGCCAGTATTTCTCAACATTTAAAGTTATGCTCCTTTCTCATAAACTTAAAACTCTAGTGCCTTTTCTATAATTTTATTACTAATACAATTAGCTTTTCCTTCTAAATGTGGCATTATTTTATAATAGTGAAGAAGCTCTTTTAAACTACACTTGCCTTCCTCCTCCCTTTAAAATCTGCCCTGCCCATGCAGAGACCCACGGCTGAAGTGAGGCGCTGAGAGGACAATGCAAAGTGAACACCCGTGTAACCAAGGGTTAACAACCACTCCAAGCAAAGAGGAGATGGTAAGGGGGCAGGGAAACTAGAAAGGAAACAACCAGAATGCAATTAAAGAGAATGGTGACACACTGTGAAAATGTAACTAGTGTCATTGAACAATTCATGTAAAATCGTCAAATGGGAATCTAATTTGCTGTGTAAACTTTCACTGAAAACATAGTATTAAAGGGAAAAAAAGAACATTAGTACACATGCCAAAACCCATAAGACTGCAGGTTATATAATGATAAATTATGTTTAAAACACAAATATTACACTTAATAAAAACACAGATATTTACTGAAATATATGGAAGAGAAAAACCCAAAGGTTAAGTTCTTATAACTTTTGCCTATCATTTTGGGTGAAATCAAAGAAATCTTCACCTTATCAACATTTGATATTTGGAAGTATCACTTCTTACTCTAGATAAATGTATCAATAAAGATATAAACAAAGCAATAAACATTAGTACTTTAGGAAAGGAAGACTTATAAATGAGAATACCTATTGCATACACTCATACTTAATTAGAAAGGTTTTTTTACTCCTAATAAATGTACACATTTCATCATGTTAATTTGAGACTTTAGTTGTATGATGCTTTGATAGAGATATTCCTTAATATTTAAGATTTTTACTTTGATCATAATGTGGCAGAAAAATTATTTCTAATGGTACAGGCTATTATACATTGTTACTTATTAAGTCTGTATTAATAGGTTCAATGGGCTTGCCAACTTTGTTCCAATGCCAAATTTTTGTTTTAAAACATTCTTGTTTTTTGTTTGCAATTAATGAAATACATGTGGGTGGGTAGATAGGTGTGTGGGTGTGTTTGTGCCTCTCTCCCCCAAAATAATATTTTTCCAGGTAACTTGAATATTCTATTTATAACATTAGTATTCCATCTTTAGTTTTACGTATCAACTTTATTCTGACATATATAAAGATTTCACAACAGGATTTAAAATAATCTTCAATACTTTCTGGATGATAATAAATTAGCAAAAAGATTCTGCCATTATTTCAAAAAAATGTGTAAATGACATTTCTTGGAGTAATACAGAAAATAAAAAATTCCCTGCTTTTTGGTTTGCAGAGAGATTTGACAAGTCACACTGCCTCCAATACATTCAATTTGACTACACAAATTAGCAGGAGCTGACCCTAAGTAAAAATCATTTTTCAATTAAAAGTTTATTTCATTAAACTGTTTTTTACGTATACTTGACTTACTTCTTTCGGGGGAGGAGTACACAAAGGAAAAATTTCAAGCAGAAAAACAGAGAAGGAATCAATTAGATTTATTAAATTAATTTACACTGAAAAATGCAAAACCCATATATCAAAACTACGTTACTGAGACACCGAAAAGGGACAATACCACAATCTAAAACAAGCTAACAGTTGTACAATGGAAAAGAAATTGCTGAAATTTAAAATCTTTTAAAAATGAAAAATACGTATAGTCATGAATAGCTTTATTAGTAGGAAAACTAATATTAACATCTATCGGAAAACACATGAAAAAAAACTCCAACCTTTAAAGTGTAATAATAAATAAGAACTCTCTTCAAATATTTAAGTAGTGGTCATTGACAAGAAGGTTTGTTTTGGTTTGCATCAAGTGACTAAAACAGACTGCTAAACATGAGTTTGGTGGGGGCAGATTTCAATTCAGTAATGCAAGGAAGGTATTTATAAAACTCAGATTCTAACTTTCAACAATGGTACCCTTGAGAAGTTATATAAAGTGCTTCAAGTACACAAAGGATTCGATCAGAAGGATTACCATTGGCCAAGGATGATCTAAAAGTGAACTCGACTAGTTAACCTTTAGAATCCATGGCACCTTTGAAATTTTTGGTCTATGTTTTTAGGATTATGGAAAAAGTTAAAAGATCAATAAACAGGGCTAGAGCTAGGGCTATTTGCAATGTGATTTAATGGTATGTCTGCCATGCTGGGTTGGATGGCCTCAGGACTGGGTCAAGTAGACAGAGACTAGGAGAATAACCTGGATGAGATTCACATCTCTGTAGTCTGGTAGTAGGTAAGTACCCAGAAACAGGTTACTTAACTGAATTAAAAGTCCAGTTTCTTGCTTCTCTGGCTGGACCTAGTGCCTAGTGGAACCCAGATCAGGAGACTTGACAACAAATAGACCCCAGTGTGGAGTCTGGGTAAGGGAGTTTTGAACCAAGGGAAAGGTCCTAAGCAGCAAAACAGAAAGGCACCAGCAATAAGAACAGGAAATAATTATTTCTAATTATCAAAGATCTTTCAAGCCTTTTTGTATCTGACCTGACATTCCTGACCACTCCCTACCACACAGTGACTACCTACTGTAGTGAATCTCATAATTTAAATAAATAACATTGGTGAATCTAACATAAGCCAGTCAAGAATCAATGCTTTATAAGAATCTACTTCAGAGTAAGAACAAACGGGGACGAGAAGGATCCAAGGTCCACTGGCAGAGATAAAGAACCAGAGGGTCAAGGAATTCTTGATTAGACAACAGTAACTTTTGTTTTCTAATTTTTTCCCATATAAAAAATTATACATACACAGTTATGTGACCCTAATTGCTCTCCCCATACTGTGACAGCACACTCCTCCTTTCCACCCCTGATTCCCCATGTCCATTCAACCAGCTCCTAAC